AGTTTCAGACGCAGCTCACAGGTCCCAAAAGGTCAAGTCACTAAGTCACGTCAAGTGACCCAATGTTAGGTACATATACAAAAAAATTAAACGTGTGCCATAGCACACCAACTGAGCAATTGTTTAAAAAAAAATTCAGCGATCACTTAGCGATCACTGAGCTCGGACTTCGGAGTACACTCGGAGGGCACTCGGACTTCGGAGTACCTGCTGCTGTACAAGCTCCAACGACTTCGCGAGTGTGCGGGAGTGTCCACCGTCCATGGCAGTCTGCTAATCTCGCAGAACGACCTATCGACTGGCATAAGTGCATACTCGCCAGATGGTGACATTCCGAAGGACCTATGGTGGACAGTGAAGTGCCCACAGCCAAAATGACCGCTGACGTCATAGACATTTTATAGCTCTCGGCATCACGGGCTCTGCTTGTAACCAAGAGCCAACAGACCACACTCGCTGCAATATTGCCCAGCAACCGACTGCGAATGAGATCCTTCTCAGAGGTCACAAAAACCTCATCAGAGCTAGGGCCTGAGCGTCACAAACTTCCCCGCAGTCTCCCCTGTCATGTGGGCCGGACCTTTAATTGGGAGTGACCTTTGCCACGCGCCTTGGCTCATGCTTGTTAGTCGAGTGATGCGCGATGCCATTTCCGGCGACAGCCGACAGCTGCGATAGGCGACAGCTGCGTCAGCCAGCAGCTGCGTCAGTCAGCAGCTGCGACAGCCGACAGCTGTGTCAGCCAGCAGCTGCGTCAGCCGGCAGCTGCGTCAGTCAGCAGCTGCGACAGCCGACAGCTGCGTCAGCCGACAGCTGCGACATCCGGCAGCTGTGTCAGCCAGCAGCTGCGACAGCCGACAGCTGCGTCAGCCGACAGCTGCGACAGCAGACAGCTGCGACAGCCGACAGCTGCGACAGCCGACAGCTGCGTCAGCCGACAGCTGCGTGGGCTGAGGATGGACAGGCGAGCGGCGGCCGAGTGTGGAGTGTGATCTGACCGACCAGTACAGATGGTACAGCAAAGTAGGACCGACCGTCCAACTCCGGGCTAGAAGTCTGTGAGGGTTTCCCATTGTCACCAGATTCCCCGTCGACTTTATGTAGTTCAGTATTCCGGAGTTTTAGATACATTGGAAGGAATCATCGTAAAAGGCAAGCGTGAAGATCTATTCAATTATTTTTTAGTATGTACATATGTAGACTATATGACCTTCGAAAAACCATAATATATAAGTAAATGTCACCCAAATTGAAACATTGCCCGTTATTAGATGCATGAAAATTTATCACCCGTCAGTGGTGTTTTGGTGTTGGCTACGGCTGGCAAAACTCGGCAGCGGGGTCACCTTTTGACCTCTGCCACCAGTGGAGTCGTTATGACGGCGCTCAGTCGCCGGGTGTGGAGGTGGTATTTTGGTCGCCGTCCACTCCTACCCCTCCCCAGGAGGTGCTGAACTATGGCCGTCGGGCAGAGCCCCTCCCCCTCTCCGGCCGGTCGAGAACCCTCCCCCTCCCTCCCCGACCCCGCCGGTCGCTGGCCGCCGCACAGCCCCCTCAGTGGCTCTGACGTCACATCATGACGTCACGGCCGCGTTTCTCGGCGATCGATGATGGGGTCGGTGGTGACGTTGGCTCGGCTCGAGAGGCGAGCGTCGACATCGTCGAGAGGGAGGGTCCGACTGAGTAAAGAATCTCGACTCGGACTTTTTGCCTGGAATCGTTTCTATTCTGGCTCTGAGTACTTGACGAAGTCAGTGGCGATTCGAACGCGAAAAGTGAGACTACGTCAATGGGCTCTCACGATAAAAATAGACGGCGAACTTCTTCACTTGCTGCTGTACTTTTGACGATAAGTTTCAGACAAAAGGATAAGTAATACTATCGAATGCATGGGCGAGTCAGAGGGTAGGCTGTTTTAAGAATTAGTACGAGACGAGTTTATGATTAATTTATAATAAATCATTGATCATCATTGGCTTTAGAAAGGCAGTTTGCGCGGGAAAGAGGGAGGGAGAGAGGAAGGAGAGAAAGAGAAGGAGGGAGAGAGATCTGTGCACGTTGTCTTTAGCGTCGGTCAGTTTACGTCTGTTGTCAATAGATGGCAATGGTGTACAGCGCCTGCAGTATGATGTGCCGCAGGAAAACTACGGCCCCGCGCCGGGCAGTTTACGTCTACTGTCAATAGATGGCACTAGCGTACAACGCCTGAAGATATGCTGTACCGCAGGAAAACTACAGCCCCGCGCCGGGCAGTTTACGTCTTCTGTCAATAGATGGCACTAGCGTACAACGCCTGAAGATATGTTGTACCGCAGGACCGCCTTAGCGCCGAGCAGTTTACGTCTTCCGTCACTAGATGACACCAGTGTACGGCGCCTGAAGATATGCTGTGCCGCCGTACAGCGCCAGTCAGTTTACATCTGTTGTCAATAGATGGCACTAGTGTAGAGCGCCTGAAGGTATGCTGTGCCGCAGGACAAACCACGGCTGCCTGCTCCAGGGAACATCTCAAGCATCAATGAAAGTACCACTGTGACTGATGCTAGCAGTATCAATTTAACCTCTTTTGACATTGGAAGGGGTCGGGCGCATCACGTACCTAATGCAGAGCGGAAACTTCCGTCATCTCGAAAGGAAGATGCAAGGTAAGTTAAGGATGCAAGGACAGACGTATGCAGGAAAACGGATAGCGGCCCCTCGGACTGCAGCCTCCGTTTTTTTTTTTTTTTTTTGACAAACGTGAGCTATGAGGCCTTATAAGAGATCTGATTTTTTTCGTTTTTTCCACTTTCATTCTTTTTTGCATGATAACGAATTCTTATATTTAACTCATATACCTAGCATTACAGTTAACAGTACACACTACATAGTACATACACATCCATTGTTCATTCATTCGCAAAAGGCGGGGCATTCCACGTCAAATCAAACACCGAAATCCGTCATCCCCTTCGATTTTTCTGAAAATTTGTAGGTAGACTGGGCATGGTTCAAAACTGAGTTGCGTATAATATTTTCGAAATTTGATAACGTATCGCTGAGATATAGGTCATCAAATATAGCGAAAAATGCCACGCATCAATTTTTTAAATGGCTATAACTCTGGTTCCTTTTCTGGTATCAAAATGATATTAACAGGGTCTTATAGGCCATTGATAAGGCTTTGATTTTTAATTATAAAATTAAATTGAAATGACCTTCAAATGCTTTTGACCTTGAATTAAAACAGAAAAATTTAAATAGCAAAAAACACGTCACCTTCGATTTGGCTAATTTTTACATATTATGTCCGTCACAATGTTCCTAACCATCTGTGAAAAAAAATTGGAGTGGGCCATTCATAACTTTCGCGGCAAACGCCGTTTTCATGCATCAACATCAAGCAACCGCGCGTGACCTTGAAAGACAGAGTCAAGACATGCTGGCTTGTGTACACTTTCTGAAATGAATGATTGCTGATTAGTGATATCCCAAACTCTGCGAGAATGGAAATGCATAGTCATCGTAGTCAAGCATTCACGTTCCATAGTAAAAGTGTCTCAGGCAAACGGTATTTTGCGGTGAATTTTGAGCCGTGTGGAAATGCATCATGAAGTAAATTCAACGAAAACATTATCACGCAACGATATCTTCACGTCTTTTGATCTTCACTATACGAAAGAACATACATTTTTTATTATGTATGGAGAATTTCTAGTTAATCCAATAATAAATATGGCAGCTAAGCCTGCTAAGAGTAACATGTCGCCGACTGCAAGGCGGGCTCGGCCGATGCGGGAAACGCAGCAATCACAATTTTGTGTTTACACGTTCATATTTCAATTGTTTACCAACCGATTTTCAAAATTCTTTCACCATAAGATTGCCTGTACATTTCTTAGTCTTCTCACACAATTTGACGCGAATCGAACGTAATCAGCGGTAGGGAGCGCGATGTAAAGACGGAACCGTTCCGTTCCGTCCCGGCACAGTCTACAATTCAGGCGGCGCGTAGCGGTCGGCGCCGGCTGCCGAGTCGCCGCGTCGCTGCGGCGACAGTATGTTCACTTTACACCGCTATTACTAGAACAGTTGTGAACCGATTTTCTTATTGCTTGCACGATGAGATGTCCAATTCAATTCTTGACAGGTAGCCATAATTAATTTCGCATTCATCTTATGAGATATTGGCGAAAAAACAGGAGGGGTGGGCGAAATTCGCTCTTCCCCCTCCACTGCGCATGCTAACATACGTTTGCATATGTGCAATTTTCTTCAAAACTTATGAATGGCCCACTCTAATTTTTTCACAGGTTGTTAAGAATATGGTAGGCAATAAAATATATGAAAATGAGCCAAATCGAAGGTGACGTGTTTTTTGCTATTTCAATATTCGTGCTTAAGAACAGAGTTAAGCAAATTTCAAGGTCATATATTTAAGTAGGTGCAATTCTAAACAAATGCTTAAGAAATTACCTAAACAGTAAGGTTTATTTCATTCAAATCAAACAAGTACAACCAAAGTTATGATCGTTCAAAAATATAAAGATGCAACATTTTGTAAACATTTGATGCCCTATCTTTAGAAGACCTGTGGTCAGAATGTGCAAAAAAACATCAATGTAATGTCCGGGGCCACACAGGAACTCGCTCACAAATTTATAATAAAATCGCTGATGGTAAGGTGCAAAACAGCCGATTTTTGTTCGATTTGACGTGGAATGCCCCAGGCGCGTAATCTGCTCATGTAAGACTTCACCCGAGTTAAACGCTAAATAATCAGCGTCAGCGTCAGCGTCTCTCTCTCTCTCTCTCTCTCTCTCTCTCTCTCTCTCTCTCTCTCTCTCTCTCTCTCTCTCTCTCTCTCTCTCTCTCTCTCTCTCTCTCTCTCTCTCTCTCTCTCTCTCTCTCTCTCTCTCTCTCTCTCTCTCTCTCTCTCTCTCTCTCTCTCTCTCTCTCTCTCTCTCTCTCTCTCTCTCTCTCTCTCTCTCTCTCAATCCTCTACCCAAAAATAAACCTACTATTGCTATACCCCTTTATTGTCATGTCTTTAAGTACAAGTGACACCCGGCACGCCCTCTATCACAGCTCCAGTCACTGAGCAGATCGGACCGACGTTATACACATGCTGAGCGATGCAGCGACCCAACATAGCACGAACAGGGTCTTGTCCGTAGGGTTAATGCCAAGATCAACGGGTATCGTAAGTTCGGAGGCGAAAGTCACTCTACAGGCGTCAGTACATCAGCATAGGCAGTGAGGCACCCTTGTCACGGGATAAGTCGGATACGACTTGAACAGTTGGTGGGTAAATGTGGTCCATTTGGCAACAAAGGTAAAACAACTCTGAACTCGCCATTCCAAATACTTCAAGCCAAGCATCGTGTCACAATATTGTGGCCAAAACTTGACGATGGTTAAGAAAACGGGGAATGATTTTTCATTGAAACCATCACACCCAAAAATGAGAAAACAATGGCCATTGTTTCTAGCAAATGAGATAAGCCCACACAAACGAAGTAACGCACTTTTTCCGTCGATTTGGCTTATGTCACGGTGGGTCACACAATGAAAACAAACCATTAACTTAGATAAGAACACCTTGTCGTTTACAAAACACGTCACCTAAACTGAAAAGACTAACCAATACCGATTAGCAATGACTTCAAATAAGTAACACCCAAAAAGAACCGGAGAACAGCCTCCGAGTTCATCAAATACGGTAACTTGCCATCTAGCGCCAGTTACGTAGCGAGAAGCTTTTATAGATGGCGCCAAACCCCAGAGGTCACCACACACTGAAGCTAAACGGAATACGCATTACGCACGCAAGCTGTAGCAGCCCCACAGGCCGGGGTATCAGTACGGCCGGCCCGACATACGATACCAGCTGTACCAGCGGCTGGTCCGAGGAACCACCTCGTTCTTGGACAGCTCGATCGTGAATATCTCCACCCTGGAATGGTGGAGGCCGGCGCCGGTTAGAGCTTACGATCTACTGCGGCGGTAGAGCGGTGGCTGTTTACTGTTTGGCCTTGAGGAAAGCACAGCTTACAATATCCCTGCAACTGGAAGACTTGCTGGACAAGCCAACAGCACTGCAATCCACAAAACTTTGCCAATGAAGGGTCCAGAAGATGAATGTTAACCGTCAACTCCGACCAATTTGCTACGCAGACTGCCTCAATCCATTGCAAACAATGGATCAGATCGCACTAGCTAGCAACCAGGAACTTCGTCAATATCAACAACAAATCCTGCGCATTCCCAGTTGAAGCATCTGCATCATCACTGAAAGCCCACACATGTATACATCAGCCAGAAGCCTTGAGCGCTGGTTAGTATAAAGGAAGCACAAACTCAAGCGGAAGACATTCGGAAGTCTATAATACTTCGGAAGAATTGTATGGCATCCGATGCACTGAAACCATCACTCAGGCAGGACTACCAATCCATTGTGCGGTTAGAAAGAGTTCCGCTACTGCACAGCCTAAACACTAACGGCGCCATCTTCCCTCACATTCCCTGAGCAAACCCGGTTAGTAAGAGTGTTTAGCAAACGTGCCGCTGACAAGCGTTTATCCCTCCACAGGAGCGTGAGTTGTGGGGTTAGTGCGTCAAAGCAGGGATGTCGCTCTAGAACCATCGTTGGAATGTCGATACCGACGCTGGTCGCAGAAATGAAAGTTTGGTTTGAATGGTTTTGGCCCGATGGTTTGAACAGACGACATATTCAAGGTAAAGGATAGGCTCGATAGGCAACCGAGTTAGTAAAGTCCACTCTCCAGGTTAGTAAATCCATTGGTTAGTAGCTTTTTCTGTGCGAACCAGGCAGGCCAGCAAGTAAGTCCGTTGGCCAGGCAGTCCGCGCAGAGTAGAACAGCCGGTTTAGTCAGCAGACGAGCCCGGCAGATCCAGTCCGGGTGTGGGCATGCCTGTGTACAGACCGAGACTCACAGTTCCTCCTTGGCCGGAGTCTTTCCAGGCACTGTCTCCTGCTCCTGTTCTGTACCAGACTCCTGCTTCTCTGCCTGTTCGGGCTTCAGCACAGGGACCGGAGTGGGGATAATGGGAGGGTAAAGAATACCCTCCGCCGGACAGCCCGTGCTGATCGGCTCACTCTTGTTGTGGCAGTCGGTGGGCACAAACGATTTGTCCAGACAGAGTTTGATCTGGGTCAGGTACCACAGCTTGGTCTCCTGTGGGCGACACGGGTAGGCGGGGTCAGACATGGGACGTCAGTGAAATGAATGACGTGGTTATTAGTAGTCGCTTGGGACAGCCAAACAGTTTGTTTTGTCAGATACACGCACCACAATTTGACACGTTTAACGTGAGCATAAGTTTGTACTACGTTCATAAATTTTACAGTACAATCGCTGTATGCATGCTGTTGAATATTCGTGTCAGGGTTGCTTCATCCGTACAGTAATACGCTATAATTGGCAACAATCCCGACGTTAATTTTGGCTCTTGTTTCCGTTCTACCACTCACAACATCGAGCCGAATAAAACAAGACCGACGAGCCCGACAAACCCTTCCCTCTCACACTTTCACTCCTCCCGCCCCCCCCCCCCCCAGTATTCCTCCACCTACCCGGTCCAATTCACAGTCAACAATCATCTTCGTGCTGAAGTGAGCCGTCAGAGCGTCGCGGATCTGCGCCCACTGGAACCTGTCCGCCCCGGGCCGGACTCCAGCAGTCTCCAGGACGGACAGGGGCTGGTAGGTGGCCGACCAGTGCAGACCCAGCGCGAAGTAGTCGTGCTCGTCGCCGATAGAGGGCAGCTCGGCAGCGCACGTGCCGTGCTTCAGCCACTCGTGCTGTCAGTACGGAAATAGGGTAGGTAGTTGTTATTCTTTTCAGGCCATGATAACCGAACGTTAAGATCAACTGCTTGGCGAAAGGATAGAGATTATGGATAATCCATGTGTCATGAATCCCAAGAGACAGGGAGTTGCGAAAAGGTTGCGTAGATGACAATCACTTTTGATTTTACGATATATTATTGGCTCATGGCCGATGTTACCTACAACAAATATCGTGAGTAAGAACGATTATGCTCGCTACAAGATGACAAAGCATAATCTGCATCCCGAAACTGGCGGCTGCAAGGACCGTGCCTTCCTAGCGATCGAACCCAAATGACGGCGATTTTACCCAGATGACGATCGATCCGCACCTTCCACAGCGAGTAGACCGACTTTCCGGCATAGATGTTGGGCCACCTCATCAGCAGGCTGGGCTCGATCTGTCGCAGCTTCTCCAGGTCAAATGGCAGCTTCTGGCAGTTGTGCGGACCCTTTGTCCCGGCCTTGGTGGGCCTGGATGGATAGCAGTGAGGGTAAAAATGTAAATCGTTTAGTTTTGCTGCATATTGCATTGCCAATAACAACTCAACAACATACTAAAATTTACTGGAAGAAAGTATGGATTACTGAACTTGTTACCCAGTAAACATGCCGACGTCGGCCCGACGTCGGCCGACGTCGGGGTGACGTCGGCAACTCGGCATCGGCATGCCGACGTCGGCCCGACGTCGGTCCAACCTCGGGACGACGTCGGCTGGATGTCGGATATGCCCGCATGTTCCGACGTCCAGCCGAGGTCCAGCCGACGTCGGGCCGACGTCGGACCGAGATCAATTGCTGAGGTCCAGCCGACGTCGGGCCGACGTCGGGGCGACGTCGGACCGACATCGGCCGCTGTTTTGACCGTTAAAATAATATAAAATAAATGTTTTATGTTTCATAAAGAGCTTCTGTATTCAAAATATCCTCAGAAAACTCAAATCTTCCTCCACGCCGCAACCCCCTGATCCGGACTGGACGGGAAACTTTATCCCATTCCCATTTGGGATTGCCCGTAAGCCGAGCTCGCCCGTAGCCGGGTGCGGTGAGTGCTTGGGGGCTGCTCGGCCTATCCTTTGGTCAGGCTCAGCCCCGGCAACTCACCAGGGCCGGGCCCAGTTCATATAGAAAGGCCAGTCGGCAAGTGTCACTTTGCCAAAGTGCCACTTATCAAAGGGACACTGTAAGCCGGAACTGTATTTCCACTGCCGCGGTCGGCACCTGCACACCGAACGACGCGCAAACCCGACCCTCCCCTCCGCCTGACCCCCACTGCCCGGCGGCCGCTGCAGATGGCCTTTGCCGCTGCCGGCCGCCGGCACATCCGAACTTTGACCCGCCTGCGCGCGCGCCAACATGAGCGAGCCGGCGAAACAGATCAGCGCTGCCAGTACACAGTACAGTCTGTCTTAAAAGTACCGCGCAAAGTGGCGGTGGATCCATCGAGCCTGACTGAGGAAGGGCCTGCTAAATTTGGGTCACCGAAGCAATGGACATCCTCGTCCATTCCCCAGCTCTTCAAATTAAAGCAGACCTTTCTCGGTCAGGCTTGATGGATCCACCGCCACTTTGCGCGGTACTTTTAAGACAGACTGTACAACACAGTACAGACACTTTGGGAAACGTTGGTGCAGGTGTGTAAGAGTGGCTATATGAATCCATTGTGGGGTCGCCCTTTCCAATAAGTGTCACGTAGCAGCAATGGGACCAGGGACTCTGTATGAACTGGACCCAGGGTGCTCGCCAAGAAGACCAATGTCTCCATCCTATGATCCTTCCGGGTCTGAAATGGTCTTGTCAGACCGAAAGGGCATAAGATAACAAAACAAACCAAATTAGTTAGCTGGCTGCGTGGTGTAGTGGTTAGCGCACTAATCTCGAGTTCGAATGACACGGGGTTCGAATCCCATCGCCGGATGATGCTTTTGGCGTGTTGTCCCAGTAAACATGCCGACGTCGGCGACTGGGGGGCTCGAATCCCGCCGCCGGTTGATATTTTTGGCGCGTTGTCCCAATAAACATGCCGACGTCGGCCCCGTCGGTCCTACGACAAACGATCTCGTCAACCTCGGCAAACGATCTCGGCCCGACGTCGGCTCGACGTCGGCTGGACTTCGGCTCGACGTCGGCTGGACTTCGGCTGGACGTCGGAACATGCGGGCATATCCGACGTCCAGCCGATGTCGGGCCGAGGTTGAACCGACGTTGGGCCGACGTCGGGCCGAGCCTCGGCCCGACGTCGGGCCGACGTCGGCATGTTTACTGGGTATGTAACAATCAGCTATGATTATGATTTCTTTATTGGACAAAAATGTTTGCCCTTAATTTTAACTTTTGAATGGACTTTCATTCATGATGCTCTGCCCTGAAATAAAGCTTTCTTATCAAAAATTGAAGGAATGCAGCTTATAGGGAATGTGCTATGTGTGTGTCCCATTGCTGTGACTGCATGTCACATCATGACCATTTCTCAATGCCCATCCATCCAAACTCACCACACCCCATGCACTGTCCATGAGGTGACATTGCTGAAGATCTCACAGGCACGCTGGCTGTTCTCCCCTTTGTAGGCAATGCAGGCTGACTGCGGCCACTCCTGGGTGAAAATGAGGTAGTCCCAGTTGCTGGGTGGTGGTTCCACCTCAGCTTGAACTCCCCAGAAGCTGGAGGAAGAGGGGAAACATCATGCATGAGCCATAAGCTGACAGTCAAAGAAAACATCCTGATGAGCAAAAGGGGACACCACACAAGATTTCCAGATTAATCAGCTTTAAGCATAGAACATCTTCTTCAGAATAACTGAGCTTTGCTCCAAAACTTTGGCAATGCTTACCATATTATGGCATGAAGGAAAATGAATGTGTGCCATGCTGAGACAAGTGAAACCATAACCAGGCTGGGCCTTCTCACAGAGTTGCTAATACCTGGAAAAGGAGGAAAACAATAATTGCATATGGTTCATGGTTTAGTGTTAATGTTTTGACTCACAACTTCACTTGTCTTATTTAAGGCCATGAGTCATTTTCAGTTACCATTATTTCTTTCCAAACTGTTAACAAAATGAACCATAACGGTGGCGGTCACAGGCACAAGCCGTCACAGCTCCGACCATCATATCCCATGGGCATATGGGGCATATCATCCCCAATGGGCATATTTTATTAAATCATTTCAATTTGAAGAAATAAAATTGTAGGCTGGCACCGAATGTCAAAATTATCCACAATGGATCAGAATCACCCATGACCCAAGTTGAAGTGCAAATAGCTGACAAAGCACAACAAAACTGATAAAAAATAAATTTGATTATAATTTTACTAATGAAAGCAGTAAGTAACAAAAAGACAGTTATCGGGGTTACATGAGCACAGTAAATACGTATTTAGCCGCTAATTCGAATTAGGAACGCATTACCGACTCATGTAGCCACCTGCTAGTACGAATCGGCGATCCGATCCGCGGTTACATGAGCAAAGCAAATACGTATCACGATCGGATTCACCGCTAATGCGAATCAGGAGCGTACTACCGACTCATGTATCCACCTGCTAATACGAATCGGCGGTCCAAACAAAATCCGCTGAGAAAGAGGCTTAGAAGCGAATAGGACCAAGATACGTATTACAGGAACTATTTCTTTCCAAAAAGAAACATTAAAATGCAAAATAATAGGTATTTTTTTCATTTGCTTCTTTTGAAATAATAATTAAAAAAATATATCGGTATTTTGTCAATAAATATAGTGAAAACCAAAAAGAAAATATCAAAGTACTTTCAGTTGAAACATTTTTCTGACAGCACTACAGACGAATCAAGAGAGGCAAGTGCCCAATGAGTCAAAGCAAGACAACTTTATGTTCAACTTTTTTTTGTTAAGTTAATTGAGGATGTTCTGAGCAGATTAAATGCAAAAAAGACATGAGATATTAAATTTTTAATTCAGTCACCTCTTTTGCTACGGAAGTGCGCCACATTTGTATGCTATTCCGTTTGTAATGCGCATCGGGCCGAGAGCCAAACTAGACCCGTTTGACGTCACTGATACGAATTTGCTCTTGTAGTCGGTGCACTGAATGCGTTCTTGGGGAGCTGATGCGAATTAGCGATAGTGCGTATTTGGAACGGATCGCTCATGTAACCGAAACGTCCGAGGCACACGATTCGGGCCGTATTTCACAAGAACTATTCTTTGCTGACTGGAAGCGTCAAAATGCAAAATACTAAGCATTTTTTTTTATTGGCTGCCTCGTAGAAAATAACAAAAAAAATGTTGGTATTTTGGTTTAGTCTTTGCATGTGAAATAAAATGAATGAAATATTTTGATAGATAATTTTTTCTGACCACCCTGCTGTCGCTGCATGGCGAATCAGTGCCCATTGACTTAAAACAAGAAAACTTTGTTTTCATTTTTTGATTTCATGTTAATTTTAAATGTTTTTGAGCCTATCAAATGATATAATTATTTAAAATTTAGCTCAGTCGTCCCGGTAAATGCCGCAACTGCGCCATGACTGTACGCTAATCCTATTCCGTTTGTGATGCGAATTACCGGCCGTCGAGGAGTCAGCCCGGGTGAGCCAAACAAGATCCGTTTGACGTAGATAAAACGAATTAGTCTCATGTAACCGGTGCCGTAGATCCGTTTGTGGGGAGCTGATGCGCATTAGCGTAGTGCGTATTTGGAACGGATCGCTCATGTAACCCCGGTAAGTAGTGTCAGGTACACCAGCTCATGTTATCAAAAACATATCAAATGCTATTCGACACTTTCTTCGTTCAGGGAAGTTTGTTGATGTTTTGCGTGTACAAAATTTCTTGTAAGTCTATTGACGTCAGAGAGCTACCATGCCCTGTTCAAGTGCTCTGCGGCCGCCGCGGCTCCCGCGGCCGGGAGGCGGAGCCTAATTTCGGTTAGGTTGAACACCCTCGCGGCTGCGGCCGCTGCGGCGGGTGAGACTAAATGCTTACTTCGAAATCTAAGCTGTGTTGCGGCATTGGCGTTATGTGCGGCGTGTATGCCGCATGATTAGTAAGCGGCGACCACTAAATTAAAGACTTAAACGCTCCAACCTGTTTTCAATGAATAGGTGCCAATCGCTCTCGTCATAAGATATTTAGATTTAAATAACTAAGTTATCTGCATCATCATTTTGAACCAAATTAATGCTTTCAACTTAGTACTCACTCATTCCTTCCTTCGTTGGCTCCAAACAGTCTTTCGATTGTCTGGAAATCGTATGCCAAATCCCACACCTGTAGGTATACGACTGGTGCATATAAAGGCCGATGTAAGAATTTCAATAGGCTCTCGCATGCGATTTCCTGGCTACCCAAAAAGTCTGTTTCAGTCATGCTATCAAAACATGGTATGTCAGCCCTGTCACCAGCTTATGACTGCTCTGCTTGTAGTGCCCCTGACCGTCACCGACTCCCTTCCCACCTTAAAAGCCTAGTTTCCCTCCATCATTTCTACTAGATTTAGGTGATGCTCCGACAAATTCACAAACAAGACCGAACTTGTTCGGAGTTCGGACTGTGAGTTAACCCTCGCCCTTTAGGGGGGGGGGGGGGGGTCGAACGGACTCCCCTCGGTTTTTCGCGAATAACTCGCGTAAAAAGCGGCCGGTCACGACGTAACTTTTAGTACCCTCGCGTTGATCAATTTTACACCTATCCTGAAAATTTCATGACCCTGACGCAAATAACCTTTGACCTGTGACCTACTTTTCGGGACCATGTTTGGCCGGAACCTCGATTCAGCGTATGTCGGCTCGCATTAGCAGCGCGTTTGCAGTCTTTTCGTAGTTTCAAGCGTTCAAACATGTGATATGATGTTGCCCCCATGCATTAGGGTGGGTGTCAAGGTCACCTGAAGGTCAGGTCAGGTCATTGACCTTTGGTGACCTCGGTTCACTTTTTCGAGTTTGACATGTTTCTAGGCCAGTTTTACGAGCTGAATTCGAATTTAGCAACCACATGAACGTTTACAAAGTAGTTTTGGTGCCTTCGTAACATGTTACGAGGCTGTCAGAGGCGGTTGACACCTACTACAAATACCCGGCAGGACCTCTACTGGTTGACCTGACCTGGCCTGACCCGACCTGGCCTAAATGAATGAAGACATCATCTGTGATCAAAACTAGCATGATATTCGTGATCAGCACCCTGAAAAACCTCATAGCAGCCACACTACGACGTTCTAACAGGTCCCAATTTTCCCGCCTTTTGGGTCATTGACCTGACCTGGAAGGTCAACCGATGACCTAGGACCTTAAAATTGGGTATCATCGGCTTCCTCTTGTCACGGGCAACACGCTCGTTTTTTTCCGCGAAGCTCTAGCTTGATCAGGAGCGAAACGGCAAGGGGTTATACCTTATACGTTCGCCGCTGGAAAAACACCAATACGGGCGAGGGTCACGTTGACAGTATTGATTTGGTTCAAAACGATGATGTAGATAAGTTAGTTATTTAGATCTAAATATCCTATGACGAGAGCGATGGACATTTTTGGTATGCAGTGTTATCCATTGAAAACAGGTCAAAGCTATTAAGTTTTTAATTTAGTGGTCGCCGCTTACTAATCATGCGGCATACACGCCGCACATAACCGCCAATGCCGCAACACAGCTTAGATTTCAAAGTAAGCATTTAGTCTCACCCGCTGCGGCCGGCGACGAGAATGGCACGGTTGTTTTGAAACGAGATGCTGATCAAAATTTTGTGTGTAATGGCTTTATAATGGCTTTATTGCTTCAATTACTACCCTTTTGAAGCAAGTATTCCTTAACAACATGATAAAATCAACCGAAACAAAGAGCGAAATCCGCAATGTTTTGTCTCACGCGCGCAGCTTATGTCGAAGTTTCCCTGCCATTGACCTCTATAGTAACCTAGACGGCCAACTCCCGCGCCGCAATCGTTCCCGTATGGGGGCGCAGTGGCGCCACCTGCAAGTGGTCAGAAGTTCCCGGCCCCTGTAGACGGTCTATGTTAAGTGGGTAACTTTTGAAGCGGATTTTTATGAAAGATACAGCCTGCGGATAGCTGAAAAGGATTGCTATGTAACTGAACATGCTTTCTTAAGGTGTGCTGTGCTCGATTGCTAACAGGATGGCTCGAGCCGTGCAATAAAGTGCATTGTTTCAAGTGACCCGGACGCGCTGGCGGTACAAAGCATACCGAAACGTGGAGAGCTTACCTGCCGTAGGTAAGGCCATGCATGACCAGGAACGTACCCACTTCCTACTCAGGTGGCAAAAGATGACCATTCCAGATCGATGGTGATCTATATAAGCCAGGGGTCGGCAACCTACCGCCCGCGGGCCGGATCCGGCCCGCAACCATTTGACGTCCGGCTCGCGTCTGGTAACAGCAACTAACATTGCGTTCCGGCCCGCGGTACCTTCATAAATCGATTTTGTTTTCCGTACACCAGTCTATTAATTACGCTGTCAGGGGCGCCGCCACGGATTTTTGACTGGGGGGGACGGACTGACCGACTGAAAACCCAAAAGTAGGCATTCTTACCGTAGCTTTTTCGGTCCGATGCATTCAAAGTTAAAAGCAAATATACCACTTTTAACATTGGGTTTTGAACTGAAGTAACAGTTTTGTAGCCTAAGCTGAGACGAGAACAAATCAGGAGCTTTTATGGCTCAACGATCACCCTAGCCAAAGATATCGGTATCGATTTTAGGTTTGAATACTGAAGTCATTCCCATAATTACACTTTGTCATTCCCTTACCGAGGAATCCATTCCCTTACGGAAAAATGCCAGCCAATCAGCATTCAGCTGGTTTGAACTACGTAATCTGATTGGTCAACGCGTAATTAGCTTCCGCTGCAATATAGGTAAGGCCTCTACGAAAGACGGAAATTGGTTCCTATGTAAAAATAAATAAAAAATCATTTTGCAAATATTCGTTATGTTATTTCCTGACCATATTAAGCATAAAAAACTCATAAACCTGTGGCAAAACAACTGGTTTGAGGAAAGAAGTTTAGGCATTTCCTTTAAGTAATGGCTGTGAGTGTAGACCGAATTCCCACCGAGTACCTACCTATATACAGATACACATCTGATGTCCGATTCAATTTTGACATGGCAAAGCCTCTAGTGCCTCATCATCAGGGTATAATTGCTGATGTATGCCACTAATCTGATCGGTAATGCATATTGCATAGGTAATGCATATTGCATACCCGCGTGGGGGAGGAGGCGTTGTATAGTTACAATCTATCCGTCTGGCTTGTGCACGAATCGGCGCGAAGCGCCGCGAAAATTGGCAAAAAAAAAACATTAGGCAAAACTGCTCTCAAATACGAATTTTGCAGCCCGTTTAATAAGCTTGATACCAGAGAACCTTAGGTCAGGTCACCAAGTCAAGTAGTCAAGTCGCCTCAAAGTTTTGTGGTCCTGTCAACGGTATAGCTTATTTCTTAGAAGCTGAAAATTTAGTGTAGTTAGTGTGACTGCAGAACTGTGGGGTCGGAGCCGGAATCAGTCGGAGTTGACAGTT